TTAGCCGACTCTCTATGTTGCATTGCATTACATTTCCCAAAAAAATACTAAATTTTGTTTTCTTAAACTGCCTATTACTCTCTAAAATTTACCAGGCTCTCATAGGTCCATTCGCTCTTTCTCTCCCTTGGTCACTTCGGGGTGGCTTTCCACACAACTCTCTCTAAAATGTACCAGTCTTGATGGGTCTTTCAGTGACATGCTAATTTCTCTGCTCCAGCAGCTGCTCCAGCAGACCCGCCTCTCTCTCTGCCCCCCCTCCCCCTCTCTATATTTAAGGCCTCGACACAGAGGAATTGGGTCTATGTGTGTCTCTGTGTTGTCACTCTCTGCTTGTGTGTGTCTGTGTTCTCTCTCTCTGCTTGTGTGTGTCTGTGTGTCTCCGTGTCTGTGTTTTGTCTCTCTCTCAAATTCAGTTCTACCTGATGACAGTTGCTTGTGTTGCAATCGAAACATAAAAGTATTCTATTATTTTATTTATTTTATTTCTACGTGACTTTACCGAAAGAACCAAAGAGTAATTCCTGCAGTCACGAAAGCTTCAAATCAAGTTTGAACAACGGTTTAACAAGTTGATTGCCACAGATAATGTTTCACAGGTTAGGATGGGAGTTAATGCACCTTGTATCCTTAAAACTTACACAAACATGCACTTACACACATACATACAATGAGTAATGTGTATACATATGTAGTGGCATCATGGGATGCCACTGCATGATGCGTGAGCCAGGCTGTGTGTATCAAGGATGGATGACATTGCACTTCACGTGCAGTGCCAGTCTGCAAAGGATAGGGCGCGAAAGTGCCAGGTATGGTGGATGGGTTCACAGGGGGCCGTGGCACTCTGTATAAACCCGGAGGCCTGGTGACCAGAGGTACCAGCCTGGGGGCCCCCAAAGAGGGGGCTGGGGGACCACGAGACCAGGACCAGGTCCCTCTCGAAGGCTCGAGCAGGGAGGCGTGGCTATGGGCGGAGTAATCCCCAGGACTGACAATATAAGCCAGACCCCTGAACGGGTCCAGCTGCTGTTATACACCTGAAGACCTGAAGCCATCACCCTGAAGAGAAGCCCCGAAGACAAGACCCGGACCCGTGTCGGGGTCCGGTCTCCGATAGCCTCCCCAGTTGTGTTAGGGCTCGTTAGCCCGGAGAAACTACCTCCTTAGGTTACCTAGTGGAAGGGGCAAATACCCTTTTGTGTTAGGGCTTTTGTTATTGTTATCATAAACGTGTTGCCTCCAGATAAGTCTCTCTCTCTCCAGTTGTACCCACTACACATATGTAATGACAGGGTGACACCTGCTGGCCTGAAGGGGTAATTACGGTTATGGCTGCATGGAATAAAGGCGAAGGGCGGAGTCAGTCGAGAAGCTCCGGGAATCAATAAAAAGGTTCTGGAAAGGGGGCGTGGCCAGAGGTGGAGCTTGGCCGCGCCGGGCAGATACAATGGGCTGTTCTGCGGTTCCTGGGTCCTGGGTCCTGGCTGTGTCACTACTCGTCATTACCTCTTCATCTTCGACCACGTGGCTGTTCTTCTGCGAGACCAGCTCCGTCGCCGCCGCTACGCTAGTCGAACAGCTAGCGTAGCGCATGACGGAGATGGGCTGCATGTTAGGACCGCCTATGTGTAGCTGCGTTACACAATGTATCGCCCCGTGTGCTCTTAATAAATAAGAAGCCTTCTACTTGACGTGTCTCGGAAGTCGCTCACTACACATACATAATACATGAGCAGTGGCCCAACTGGTTGCCACACAGCCCTATAAATCCCATGACCTAACTTTGATTACCAGCCACTGCTATCATCAATGGTGAGCGGTATCTGAATCGATCCTGGGCTTTGCTTAGGTCAACTCAGCCAAGTGCAGTGTGTAAAAACATCACACCGCCTATCACCAAACCACCGGTCAATGCGCCATGCCAGCCTTAATAGGTGTATGCTAACAGCACATGCCCTAATAGAATTTAACGCTATTTGGACGATAGTCTGCCATAGGTAATTCAGGCCACCCCATAAAAAGAGTTTTGGCTCCAGCCCAAAATAATAATTAATATTGATTTTTAAACTTGAATTGGCTGTTACTGTGTGTGACTTCCACCATCAAATCACGATGGTCAATCAGAAAATCAGCAGTGGGAATGTAACATGATGGTGAATGTTACCAGTGAGTGCAGCTGTAATGCTAACCAATTAGGGACTGTATCGACCAATGGCAATTTGAACAAGTGGCTTGTGTGGCAGCAGTAGCAGCAGCAGTAGTAAAGATGCAGCACTGGCATGCATGACAGCAGACTAACAACAGCAGCAGCAGGGCGACTTAAGCAACAACTGGTGATAAAGTCACGCACGTAGTCGCACCCAAATTAAAGTTTTACATTTTATTTTAATGAAGGCTGCTTATACCTCAAATATAAATGACCATTATAATTTTATTCTGCTTGTTTACTCAGGAAGCCTCGCCAAGTCTCAAGACTCTCTTCCACAAAGGTCCTGCCAAGTTTTCGCAGTAGGGGGCAATATTGCTGCTCTGTAATTCCAATTGAGTCATTTGCAGGTATTTTATCAGCATTGCAATGTTCGGCCAACACCAGTTACAATTTATGAAAGCAGAGATCCCAGAGGAAACCTATGAGGAGTAGATGGAGAACATACAAACTGCACACAGAAGATACCCAAGTCAGGAAGCGAACCCAGGCCTTCTTGTTTTGAGGCACAAGTGTTACCACTACGCCAACCTGCCACCCAAACACGAATGGCCCCAACTCGACCAAGGGGCCACTCGTCGAGTCCACAAGACGGGAAGCACTCATGGAACCTAACATCAGAGGCTTATTTTACAAATTGTAGAAAATATGCCACTATAAAAGTAGTCTTGATATGCAGTTGCCGCTGGATGCTATATAAATACATTTTGCGTCTATATCACTATTTGAAAGTTTATGTATATAAAGTAAAGACATTTTGTTCTATCAATGTATCACAGATAAATAATATTTTTTATTACACTGGCTTCCACAGTTTGTGACTTGCTAAGCCATTAAAAAACTAAAAATCAACCTCATCAAACCAGCCATATTTACGATGGGAATTGAGCACTTATCTGAAATTTAATATAAACCTTACATTGGAAGATAACTTGCTAATTGGACAGTTCATTACCCATTTGCCAAAGTAATCAGAATGGAATAATGGAAAATTTATTTGATTTTCTTCTTACAACTTGTTCGTTTAGACTAAAATCTTGTCAGCATACTCAGAATTGCCCAAATTATCAATAGCGGTCATATATTAAGAATTTTGAACAGAAATATGGCTTTTAAAATATTTTTAATTCTAAGGCAGGTTTTTAGGCTGCGTTTTTCATATTAGCCCATAATTAAAGTTTTATTGCCGCTGTCTGACAGAATATATTCTTCTGAAAATGTTTAATCGCTGCAGTGCTTCCTAGAACATGTTTCATAGGGTGCAGTTAAAAACCACATCATTACGTTCTTAAACTGTTCTGCTAAGATGTCCAAAACAATTCTCGTTTTTTGTTACCCGTAATCACGAATTGGATGAAATTGCATAAACTCAAATTACTCGTGTACTTGTGATTTGCAGGAATATATGCTCCATGAAGGATTTGCCTAATATTGAGTTCAGAATGAAGAAATTTGACTTGAGGAGTTAAAAAGTTACACGCTTCTTGCAATGAACCATGGTTAACAAGTTGAAAGTGAGGCATTGGCCAAATAACTCAAGCAGAACCCTCCTGAAATATAGTTTTAAGACTCAGTTGACGTTTTTTAGGTAAAAAGGTAAGAGTCGTTTCCTGCTCAAATTAATCAATGCACATTGAGGCAGTGCTAATTTCCTGACTACAGCCTGAAGCCAGTGATGCAAATATCACATTCCTATGGCCGGGGAAAGTCTAATCATGGAACAACCACTGTTAATTTCCAAACCAAGTGGTCCTGATTTAACTACCCAGGGGGGTGTGAAAGGCTGAGTTAGCCCCAACCAGGAATTGAACTCGCAACCGTCCAATTGAGAGCCGTTCGCTCTACTGCTGAACCTCCTGGCTTGAAATTGAAAAAAAATAATGAATTATGTGCACATATATATCCAGTCGTGATGTTCATACTGCACACAGGGATTACAGCCTGCAAATGTAGTTTTAGAGGGAGTGTAGGATTAATACAAGTTGCAGGAAATCACTTAAACCTTTTTATATTTTTGTATTTGCGTGTTTGTTTTGTGGATGTGATACTACATTATCTTATGCTGTGGATTATAGTTGCTCCATGTTGTACCAGCACTGGAATACTTCGCTTCACGCAAAAAACACATTTAACGCACTAGTTCTGTCGTCTTTGGCATAAACACATTTCTCATTGCCATCAAAACAATGTAGCCCTGGAATCCATGCCAGGGCAAGTGTTAGTGAGCTATATTTGTAACCATCCACCAATTCATCTTTAAAATCGATTCTTCGCTCACAATACGTGTATTAAAGTCTGCGAGTACTGATTACTTCAGCCCCTACATGTGGCATGTGTTGGAGCGGTGGCCCAGTGGTTAGAGGGCTGGGATGTGAATCCCCTGACCTGAGTTCAATTTCCAGCCATAATAAACGTCAGTGGCGATATATCTGAACCCATTAAGGCACCCCCCTTCACCAACCCGTCTTGACCAGCATGGTAGAGTTACGGTCAAACGACCGACTGGCACGGCGTGGGGAGGCCTTCATACAATTGTGGCAGGAAAGGGTTGTAAATGATTATTATAAATCTTACAGCTTAGTAAATGGTTTGAAGCTGTCCTCATTTTCTAGGGAGCTGCAGGATCACACTCCACCATACCAGCGTGGTGACGTATGGTCAAAACAAACCTCAACGATAAACACAGCATGCGGATTGTTTTACGGGCATTTGACAAGTTCCAGGAATTTGCTATGGGAGCTACCAAAATGCATGCACATTCAAGAGCCAATAATTTGGGCCCAGCCCTTACCTTTGACCATGCCCACTTCGTAGCACTTACGCAGGCGGCAAGCCTGACAGCTCTTGCGACGGTTCCTGTCGATGGTGCACTGGTTGGTGGCCGGGCACATGTAGTCATTGTGGCCTGAAAGCAGAAAATGTACACACTTACAGCAACCCTGCTGCTGTCAATGCAATTGCAACTTCAAAGTGATAGTCGCAATACAGAATCAGGTTCAAATTAATTTTGCTTAAAGAAGTGAGAACTCATGAGACCAGGATAGCTTCATTTGCAAAGTGACCTGTGTCACAAAAATTACAAAAGCAATAACGTATACACTGGTCGCATCAAACATTTTTGCAATTGTGCTGCGATTATAAAATACTCAGAAAGTGGAGTTCATAGTGATTTTCTCATAATAAAGGTTTTTTGGGGTTAGATCACGTAAATATAAATGTCGTCAACCCACCACCACCCAACACAGCCAATAAGTAAGTAAGGTTTGTTATGTAAATACAATTTGCCAATTAGTTACTACTTCTGCACACCAGTGTGTTGGAGAGTTAACCCACATTTACAATTTGAGTACGACGATTCGCTCGTAAATTACAACCAGTCAAATCGCCTGATGATCGAACCCAAAAAAATACTTATATTATTAATATTGGTCACGAAAGCTGACTATGTATGATCGTGATTTGCTGCTCAAAGGAGCATTGAAGCAGATGCTCATCTTCTGTTCATAGCCCTGAGCCAATGGTGTAAATTCCGCATTGTCAAGGGGTGGTTGAGCCGCCGCCGCCGCCGCTTCCTCAATCCGCAGCATAAGCCACTCGGTTTAACACGTAGGCTTTCGCGACCAATATTATTCATAGTAAAGGTTTTTGGGTTAGATCGCGTTATTTATGAAGCCACTCGCTTTCAGCGTGGGTAAATCAGCGCTCATGGTGCACTTTATTTCTTTATTATTGCCACGCGAAGCCTGAATATATTTTTTCTGCCAGTGCTGCGAGGTAGAACGCAGTACTGCATGTACCCGGTATGTACTCATTGGCAATCACCTCACAAATAACTTGGTTATTTGTGAGGTGATTGCCACCCCACAAATAACTTGGTTATTTGTGAGGTTTCCACAAAAGGATTAGACTTGTAAATTTCCACATAAACTGTCCGCCCAAACCTCGAAAAACTTGGTAACCCCATATGTGTTGAAGAGATAAGCCATGCGAGCCTGACCGTAGCCCTTTGCAATTCGGTCTAGACAGTATTTAATTGTATAATCGCCCCGCAGATGGCCACACAATAAACTTAATAATTCACTTTTTTCATCCACATAACCCATCCACTCCCAAAAAAAACCTGACTCTTTCTGGGCATTTATATTTCGTAAATGTGCATTGTGTACTGATATTGCTCTAAACTTTGTAACAAAAAGTACAGTATTTTCATGCTTAAATATGAACGTAATTAAAATACATTTCACAAAAATATGAAAGTCGTTTGTCTCCCGCGATGCCAAAACAGAGATATTATAATGGAAAAATATGGTTCTCAGTTCTCTTCCCTAATGCTGTTGATTAAACATCACAGGGATTGGCTCGAGTTCTGGTGTCACCGTCTCGTCCACACGGTGGGATTCCCCCTGCCACTCCAGTTCCCTCCCACATGTCTGGCCAATTTCATCAAACACCTATTGATGAAATTGGCCAGACATCCTCATGTAGCAGCACCCTCTTGGAAAAGAGCCTTGAGACTCAGCGAGGCCTTCATGGGTAATTAATTTGCATCATCATAATTATTATTTTTGTTGCTGCTTCTGTTATCCTCACTGGTGTGACAATGGAACAAAGCGAACAAATGTGCCAGACACTGGCCAGTGCGCGCTTCATTGTGCCAATCGCAAACACAATGGTGCTGACGTACACAAAACACACACACACACGGCAAAACGCTTCGATACTGGCGAGAGCGGGAGCCGTGTACTCGGACACATGCGCTGAAAGTTAAGTATGCGGCCTAGAAAGCTACGCACACCCCTCTCACATCTCCGTCGGATTCCAGCTTAATGGCCAATTACTGCTGCGTTTAATTGGTATCATGTTTTTAATTATTACTCTTCAGAAACTACTTTATGTAATGTTTTATGTTCGGCACCGACTTCATTTCACAATATGCTCTGTACTTTACACTCAACAATTAAAACTAGAAAACATGTATGGGCCTGGAGCACAAAATGCATTGACTGTAGGTTTTCTGACAGAAATTGTTCGATGTATAAATATTGTAAATCAGATTCAATTTAGCATTGTATATAAAAAGCTATTGCAACAGCATAAAAGTAATGCAAACAAGTGTAATGTGCTATATATTTTTTAAAATGCTTCCCAAATAGCATCCTAAACCCTCTGCCTTTAACAAAGCACATGCCTCACTGCCTATCGAACCTGCCCGTCCGATATGACTAACTTTGTCAAGGCATCTATCTCTCCCAGTACAATTTCCTTAGCTCTCAATATTGCTGCTACTGCTGCTGCCACATGCAGCCTGAAAAACTCTGACACTGCACCCAATATCCCTGATAATTTCCCTCCTATCTCAAACCTTCGTTAGCTTTGAACATTTTGAGAAAACATTCTTCTTTCAGCTCTCCATACACCTCTCGCTCCACTGGTCTCCACCACGGCTATAATACTAAAACCTCTCCCCCACGTGTGGCTTATGCCCTTATCCTCTCTTCAGGCTGCGTGCCCCTCTCACTCCTAGTTCTCCAAGATGTTTCTGGAACTTTGGACACCACCGAAAACTCCACCGTCCGTTAGCACCTCCATAATTATGTTGCAAAGAAAATAAGCATATAATATCTCCCCATTTCTGTTTTTCCACGTAAGCAATCAATATTTATTTTACGTGCCAATATCGCCCTCAATAAAGTAGGGATCAGTGCACATTACAGCATAATGGGAACGGTACCGGGGGCATACAGTAATAGGAATAAAAAAATAAACCCACCACACCCTCAGCGGCTTAATCAGAATATTTATTTATACTGGAAAAATACGATGATCTATAAAGCTCTTTTTCACAGATGTCCAGTAGGGGCCGGTCAGAACGTTACAACAATACAAAATCTTGACTTAAAGCTTTCGTGACTGCAGGAATGCATATTCTATGGGTCTTTCGGTAAAGCCACGTAGATACGTGGAATAACAATACAAAAACACAATAGGAGTGCAAAGAATAGGAAAGGTAAACAAATCAATAAAAAAATATACAGATAAAACTAGAGTCTTTTTTCTCTTTCCAGGTAAAGCAACTGAGATATTAACATTTTTTCAGGAGCGACCTGGCCACAAATGATCGCTCAACAAAGTGGCTTATCACGTGGAAATTTATAGCAGCTATATCATCTAAATAATCTAAATGCATGTTTTTAAATGTGGAGAGAAAAACCACATAGTCCCGGAGAAAAAAATCCACACGACCACGGGGAGAACTTGCAAACTCCAAATATATAGCAGGCGTCAAGGTTGGGATCAAACCTCCAACATCCTACATACCAGGCGAGGAATATTACGTCACACCACTGTGGTGCCCCTTAAATAAATAAAGTGTATCGGTTCAGATTGCATTCGTACATGAATTCCCAAGCTTGGGAAAGGCAAAAACAGAAAAACAGTCCCAGACCACACCAACACAACACAGTTCCTCAATGAAAATACACATTAAAATTGAACTATCGATACATTGTTAAGAATCAAATGCACAGATCACATTTGCAAATGTGGCTGTATCCAGCACCAATCTTCTGCTTCAGAATATTTTTGAAGGAAGATGTACGATGTTAAGGGAGGAAACAAGGTTGTTCCATAACGTTCATGTGGCAACGGCAAAGGCTTTGTCACCTATTTCAGTTTTTGGGATAGTTAAAGGCAATTAGATGGACGTCGTAGGTTTCTTCGATTTCACAATTATCTAAGTATAGCGGAGACTTGCCAATAAATAATTTACGGATGAACAGTGCTCAATAAGTCAAGTAAATTGCAACCACGCACAAAATAAAGTGCAACCGTGCGCAACAAATAGAATGATATAGTAAAAAAAAAACCTAAGAAAATATTTACTTATTTACCATTATAAGATATTTTATGGGAAGGAAAATCGGAATAGAGTGCATCTTGCACAGACCCCGAAATTGAGAAACACCCGGCACGTTGCGGATGTCCGGTGGCAGACAGCGGGCTGCTCCAGATTTTTTGGGACTGTGCTCAAGTATGCCTCACCCCCTCGCCCCCCCCCCCCCCCCCAATGTCAGGTGAACAATCCTGGGCTGGGCAAGTCTTGTCATCAACGGAGTGTGATATATGTGTGCCTGGAGGATTGGAAGGTGCGGTTTTGCAAGTAGACAGCAACCAAGCCATAAAAAAGAAACCGAAAAAAGAAAATGAATTTTTACACCTCCCATCAACCACATGGCGTCCTGGGGGTGCATAATTTCAGCAGCATTGGTTCAACGCAATCAAACTCTGGACGTACAGTGTCTCATCAGCAATCAGGCTTGCTTGACAAATGCTGGTGAACTGCCAAATGTTATTGACAAGGACTTTGTCGTTAAGATATGTGAGTGAGTAATATACTCTATTATTCTTGATTTGAAGCTTCCGTGACTGCAGGAATCCATACTCTTTGGTTCTTTCGGTACACAAGCGGTCGTCCTCAGGCGGAAAAAAATAATCCAGCAGTGGAACTGCTGAACCAGGAAGCATACAGAAAGAGAGCTGTTACAACAAGAGGTTATATATGTGGCCAAGGGCAAGCAGGCGGGGTCTGAGCTGGAAAGGAATTCCATCCCCGCACGCAAGCACGTCAGTTGTGTTAATGGGGGAGATTAGCGAGAGAGAGATTAGGGAGAGAGATTAGCATGAAATGAGCTTCCGTCGCCGCATAGGAGTATCGTCCCCGCATATGCGCACAACAGCAGTGTTAATGGGAGATTAGCACTATGTTGATGGGAGAGATTAGGCAGAGAGATTACAGGTATTAGCAAGTTAATGTCATGTCTATGTGTAACACAAGCTGCGGCGCTGCCAACTGTGCTGTGAGAGGCAAGCGGGTCAACGCAATAGAACCACCGCAACGGTGGTCAT